GGTGGGGGGGTTTCTTTATTTTTTTGCTTATGACTTGCAAGAGCAAAGTTTGTATGTAATGCATTGTACAACAAGCCCGCACCCAGCCTTAGCCCGGGAGTCAGAGGGCCGTCTAGGGCTACCTGACAACAAATTTCGCAGTTATCAAGAATCCTCGACTATCAGAGTTGGCAAATGAATTATAATGATAGATATTTCGCGATAATTGGGACGATTTTAGAAAAATAATAGATTTTTAAATCTTTTAAGACTTTTGAAAATTTTTTTTTGGGGGGGGGGTGTGGGGTGCGTCAGCATCCTCATAGTGTCCCGGGGCTTGAGTGTATAATACAAAGTAAATATGATACATCTTGCAAGTAGATTAAATTATAATTTATTATACAAGTTTTAATGTGATCGAAGCGATCTCTACTTTTTGGTGAGTGTGGTCTTTGAAGGATTGGATATGAAAATAAACGTAATGTAACGTTTTATCGATGTTAACTTAATTTAGATTCAGGAAGCTTACAGGAGTATTCATACGAAATAAATATATTTATGTTCCCCGAATATTGTCCAGTCTATTATTTTACTGTTTTTTGTCCAATAAAAGACTGAGGATGATGATAATGATATTGATAATGATATAATCAGTGACTTCGACAGCTCTAATAAAGCCTTGGTGGGAAAATCAAGAAATGATCACCATTCAGTGGCGTACAGTAACATACAGTTCTATGAGCTCTCACTGGCTAAAGCCAGCTCCCCAGGTTTAAGGGGCCCTGGCCCGGGATATTCATCAGCATTTTTTGTTCCAAATCGAGTGAGCATGGCCAATCAAGGAGCAGAATTAACACGTAAAAAAAACCCATCGAAGACGCCCTTTTAAAGCATCAAACCGCCGAAGTGGGTGGGGTGTTTCTTGGTTTCCACTGGGCTCTACCCATACCAGGGCGCAGGGTCCGAAGGAGCTTTATCAGGCCTCTTCGTTACGCCACTGTCACCACCGTTTGCTTTGAAGAAAAGAAAGATACTACACATTTGAAGCGACTTTAAAACACAATCGTGCTTAACAAAGTATACATAATTCAATGAAACGCACGCCATCGTATCGTGTCAGGATTCAATGTTTCGACATTAAATTTATGTCATCAGATCGTGCTTAACTTACGACTCTGAATACCCAGACGTCTGTCTGTGACAAAACAAAGCAAAACCTGTCCTGAGCTTTCCAGTGGTTCGTGATTCGTTTTTCCCCCAGAACGTTCGAAGAAGTGTTGACGCTTGGGGGAGCTACATATTAAACAAATAAAACAGGGGTGGGCATAAAAATCGATTGGAAGGCCAAAGTGAATTTTCGATTTAACACCGAGGGCAGCACCCAAACTTTGTCTTTGATGGACCTTTCAAAAAACCATCAAAGCACTGCTTTTACACCACTTTTCTTCTGAGTTTTAATGTTACTTCTAACATATGAGGGGTGTCGGGTGGTGAAGAACAAGGTGTTTTCTAGCCAATGTTGCTTGGCGGGCCGCACACATAAGTTTTTTAATTTCTATTCGCTGGCCGCAAAAAATGGCCATCGCCAGCGGGCTGCACTTTGCCCACCTGTGCAAATAAAAAAAAAATATGCTGTAGGCCTAATTCATTAGGAGTTTTAGGCAGTGGAGTAAAACAATTACATCTTCTGGTTAAGACAAAGGAATTTGGAGAAAATGCTATTCAGAGCATGCATTCAACGCTTAATTTGTTATAAGTATTGCACTCATAAACATTTGCTGGTAACATGTTTAAAATACATTTATAACAATTACATATTTCAATACCTGTTTATACAGACCTAGCTATGATGCAATTAACATGATTTTTTTTTGTTTTTTTTTCTTTTTGTTTTTAAGAGAACCAGATCTCAGCCTATGTGTCAATAAAATTAAATACACACAAACAAATTTCGTAAATCGGAAAGACATGATAATCACAGGTATACTAAATACTGTCCAGTGGCTCTTCAAATCGATAGAGGAACATTAAAAAAAAACATGAAAAATTGATAAAAGTAATTTATATCAAAAATGCTGTAACATACTCATAAACTGAAAATACAAATACACCGAAATGATGTTTGTCATTTGTTCGCTTGTACCTGTTTCCTAAAGTTTATGATTGTTGAGAAACATATTGTTAAGCTCGGATGGTAAATAATCCCAAAGTCTAAGAAATAAATTTAAAAATGTAAATTCAAAACAGTAAGTTCTTGCAAATGAGTGCTTGAACTTAAGATTGTCAGTATGGTGAGTATTAATTTTAACATAAGAGCCGGGGTTGATGCGATTCACACCATAGAGACACTTATAAACAAATGAAATGACAAGAAAATCTTTTTTCAAGAGAAACCAATTTCAGTAAATCAATTCGTCTATTGCAAAAAATAATATCTTGTCCAAAATATAATTTCTTATCAGTGCCATAACTAGATAAGTTGGGTTGCTTATTCCTCCATAATAAAGTGCAAGGAACACGAATACAGTAATACAATGACAGTGATTATATATTTACACAACCTGTATGGCATTGTGAAATATTAACAATATGCAATTAAATAAAATGTGTGTTATGAATACACAGGATGCAATGTACTATGCATTATATTTGGAAATAGGCCTACAGTAATAAATACCGTACAGCTTCGAGTAACAGTGTTGGTACAATCGTAATATCACTTACTTGTCAAATTCCGCCTGAAGCATTAATAATTTATTCTTCAGGTTCTCGATGAGTTGTGCTTTGTAACTTGGATTGTTTTTTATTTAAGTACTTTGTTTCTTCTGGTAGGCCTAATATTTATGGCAGACAGACCATGTAGGTACACCTCCAAAGGACAGAGGAAGAGGGTTGACAATAGTATTACCAAAACGGAGTGAGAAAAATTGCGGTCTAGGGCGAAATTTGGAATAGTAAACAATTCGGTTTTGGAAGGCTTAAGTTTAAGCATATTGTGAGACATTCATGTTTGAATTTCAAATAAACAGCATTGAAGCTTTTCAAAAGTAACAGATGTTTCAGCAGTGGGATCAAATGGAAGAAAAATCTGAATGTCATCAGCGTAAAGATGAAACTTAACATTGTGGGAATGAAAGATATTTGCAATGGGGTAGATATAAAGAATAAAAAGAAGGGGACCAAGAACACTACCTTGGGGTACGCTACATCGAAGATGAGTGGGTTCAGAGGTGGAATCAAACATATTAACAACTTGAAACCGGGAAGAAATGTAAGACTTAAACCAGCTAAGAACAATGTCAGAAAAACCAAAATAAAAGAACTGCCATGCCAAAATCAGCGTAATATAAAATGTCTTTAAGGAGACAGTTAAGAGCAGATTCAGTCGAATGTCCGGGTTTTAATGCAGATTGGTGGGGTTCATGAAGGTGATTTTGAAAAAGAAATCCCGAAACTTGCAAAGCAACACATCTTTCAATAAACTTAGAAACAAAAGAAAGGTTGGCGATTGGACGATAACTTAAAGGATTTGTCAAGATTGTGCTTCTTAATTAAGGGTTTGACGGACGCAATTTTAAACGAATCAGGAAAAACACCAGTAGTGAAAGACTTGTTGATACTATAGAAAATGAAAGTGGCAAGGACATCAGAACAAGTTTGTTTATATATATATATACTGTCTCTTATACACATCTAGATGTGTATAAGAGACAGATGTATAGATATACAGTTTAAAGTTTAGATAAGTGTGCTAAAATAGATTGAAAAAATTTGACATTCCAGCATGTTTTCCTTGTCGTCACGAAGCCACAATTATTGTCAATATTGAAGCAATGTACCTGTAGATTGTTTTTAAATTATGCGAATTAAATCAGCAGTTTTGATATTAAGTTTATACCGGAGCGTAGAGGGTTTAATTTGTAGTGTCTAGGCCTGGAGCGTTGTTAGCAAAGTTTAGGCCTACCTGACCACAGCTGCGGTAGGCACCAGGTAAGGCCTAATTCCGGAATCAAATTCAGTGCTGTGTACACTGGCAACTCCAGAATCTACCCGGGTTGTTAAATGCGTCCATCCCGGAATGTTTGCCAACCCGAGTCGGACTTTTTGACGTTTACACTAACCACAACTCTGGAAATTTTAACGCGTGTATTGGAAAATCACAGGTTATGTCCGGAATTTTGCTTGCAGTG